GAGCACGTTGGACCCAGCCCCCTTAACCACTAGGCCATGGGGTGGGCCTGTACTCCAAACACTTTTTGGTGGAGAAACAAATTATTTAGAAGATAATTTTAACTAATGATGACTATGATGAGGAGAATGAAAATGGGGCTATTGCAGAGCACGAGTAGGGAGAATTGCTTCTTTAGATGGCCGAAGTCAGAGAAATCTGCTCGAGTGGTGGCTTTAAGTTATACACTAAATTAGGGTCCACAGGGGGTGGTTAGGGACGCTGGACTCCCACACGGCCCAACCTGATTCGAGCCCTGGACCTGGCAGCTTGGTTTCTCACTTTCCCTCTCTCTCCCTCTGTCCCTCTCTGGTCAAATTAAAATTAATTAACTAAAGTGCAATAAAATAATTCTGAGAAAAAGTTCTGCCCTAAATAAGATCTCAGGGAAACGGTATTACCAGGCAGACGACATTGTGTGAGTGTCTAGGGGTGCACTGCGAGCTTGGCGCGCTTGAGAAGTAAACCGAAACCTAGTGTGGGGGCCAGCGGGTGGTGACGAGTGGTCGAGGTGCTGGACTCCCAAACGGCCAACTGTGGTTGGAGTCCCCGACCTGGTGGCTTGAAAATCATGCTGGGCACCTGTGCGAGCATGCCCGAAATCCTGAGAGGAGCATGGAGAGGGGGCTGTGGTGGTGCCCTCTGGGGGGTGATTGCTCACTTTCCCTCTCACCGTCTCTGTGTCTTTCCAGTCAGTGCATACGCCTATGGCAAAAAACCTTAAAAAACAAAAAAGAAACCCAGTGTGCTTGGAATTAGCATGTGATGGGCGGATAGAGAGGAGCTGGCGGGAGAGGCCGCAGGGGCTTGGTTGCGCAGGTCCTTGGAGGTCTGCTGGTCTCTTCGTCCCCAGCTGCTGGTCACATCTGGCGGCCGTGAACCCTACTTCTCCTTTACCCGCTTGTGCTAGGCTGTGCTATACGAGGGGTGCAGGGCTTGCTCCTGGCTGTGTGCTCTTCCAGCACGGCCTAGGTTCTTCCTGCAGCCAGGCCAGCACCATCCTCTGAGTTCTGAGCCTGTTTTGCAGGACTCCAGTGGGACTAGCACCGACCTGGTCGTGCCCCTCCCTTAGAGGGGGTAGAGCAGCTCTCCAAGGCTCCACCTCGTAGTTTGCCAGCTTTGAACCCCAACAGGCTCCCCTCGATTCCCGCTGTAGAGGGGCTAGCCACTTTCGGCAGTTGTCACTCAGGTGACCTCAACGCTTCCTCTCTGGCTTTCAGTCCTCCACTGGCTATTTACCGAGTTTCCTCCGTGAGATGCTCTTCCTGGCTGCACAGAAGCCGTGGTAAGGACTAGACGCATTCCTAGGCCAGTGGAGAGCCAATAACTGGTTATTATTTTTTAATTTGTATTATTTGTTTTCCTTTATTCATGAAGAATGGGTACACGGTGAGAGGAAGGCAAGCGCCTTCCAGCGTCTGGTTGCCCTGACCCCCTCCTGCGGTTCCCCAGCCTGCTTGTACCCCGGGCGCTCCCACGTGTGCCTGGTGTGTCTTGGGTTATCTGGGCCGGGAACTCGAACCACGCTTGCCGTGTGGGATCCAAATCCAGTTTCTCTTTTTTGTTCTTTTTTGCCATAGGGCCTGTGTGCTTGCCAGAGAGAGAGGAAGAGGAAGGAAGTGAGAAACCGCCCTTGGGAGGGATGACCACACTGCAGTCCTTTCTCCTCCAGTCTCCTCTTGGAATTTTGGACATGCCTGCAAATGCGCCCGGAGTGATTTTCAAACCACTGGGTCCAGAATTCAGCCACAAAGTCACCATGTGGGGGCCAGTGTCTTAACTTCCACATGCCACCTGCTAGCCACAAATCCACCTTTTACTTTCCTTTTTTTTTTTTTTTTTTTTGAGAGAGATTTTTTGCTACAAGACACCTGTGCTTGGGGGTGAGGCAGAAAGTAAGAAATTGCCCCCTGGAGGGATGGCTACACTGTAATCCCTTCTCTATTCTCTTCTTGCCCCCCCCCACCCCACA